ATTTTTAGTAGAGATGGAGTTTCGCCATGTTGGCTGGGCTGGTCTTGAACTCCTGGCCTCAAGTGATCTACCCACCTTGGCCTCCCACAGTGCTGGGATTACAGGCGTGAGCCACTGCGCCCAGCCCCCTCTTATTTTCAAACTTTCTACGGCCTCTTTAAGCCCAGTGAAGACAAAGCTGTCCCAGACAGCCCAAAACCAGGCTTGGCCAGTGTGGGGCTGGATCTGGCCCTGGGACTGACTTTTGCCAGCCCCCTGTCCCTTGGGCTCAGTGTGGCTCTGGCTGGGAGGGAGGGGCAAGGGCTGACACTGGGGTCTGGACTGACTGTGAGGGCGGCCTCCCGTTGGTGAGGTCGGTTCTCTGCTGTTCCTACTCCCACTGGGTAGCCCATAGCAGCTGCCGCCAAAGCCCCTCCTCCTGGACAGGCTCCCGACAGCAGGAGGCTACCCGGCGGCCCCTCAGCCCTGCTACTGACGGGCAGATGCCCAATGGGGCAGCCTGGGCCACCTGCACTCACTCTGGATCTCAGCACCCACACTTTGCTCATAATTAATGCAGTACGTACGCCATGTCACAGCATATTAGGGGACGGGGGGTGCTTTGGGGAAAAGACCTGGTCCAGGGGGACGTAGGATGCTGATGAGGGCCAGTGAAATGCCACATAGGGCAGGTGAAGACGACTTCGTGGAGATATGACGTTTGCAGAAAACATCGAAGGAGGAGGAGAGAGGTCTGGTAGTGGGATGTCTAGGGAAGAGCGTGTTGGGCTGAGGGCCTACCGTGCAAAGGCCCTGGAGCAGATTCTGGCTGAGGAAGCAGGGGGGTCCCGTGGCTGCATGGGGAGGAGCAGGGCACGGGGGTCTCAGGTCAGAGGGAAAGTGGGAACCACAGTCTGTGAGGCCTCTAGGGCCTGGCTTCACCCTGTGTGAGGGGAGGGCCCCAGGAGGGTTCCCAGAGGGAGGCTTCCAGCTGGCAAGTTGACAATGGACCTTCAGGGGTTGGAGGTGGAGAGACCAACCGGGAGCCTGCGGTGGCTGCCCAAGCAAGAGTGACCGTGGCGGGGTGGTGTGGGCGGGGGCTCGGGCTCTGTATATTTCGAGATGGAGCCAGGAGGGGCGGCCCGGGTTCTTGACTGGGGCTGAGCAGTGGCCAGAGGCGCCTCTGCCGTCGGATAGGGGAGCCATAGGTCAAGCGTTGCAACCCAACCCTGGCGTCCTGGGGGTTTGAGGGGCACCAGCGGCAGCCCTGGACCAGGTCCTGCTCCCCAAATAGTTACCTGCGGAGGGGTCGTGAGGGTGGTGTGAATCAGTCTCATTCTTGCCACTGCGACAAACTGACCCCAACAAATCCCTCGCTTGCCCCTGGAGCAGCTCCCACCCCTGGAGTAGCACCGTTCTGGCTCCCCTAAGCCCAGCAAGGGCTCCCCCGATGCGCAGGTGTCTTCCCTTCCAGGGCGAGCCAGGACTCAGGTCCCCAGCGCCTTAAGTGCCACCAGCCCAGAGAGCCTGGAGTCCTGTGTGGCCAGTGAGCCGCTGGAGGCCAACGCCCACATCCACAAATGGCACCGAGGGGCCCAGGCCCCTGCCGCTCCTCCCACACAGGGCCTGGGGGCCTGGGGGTCCTTAGGCCACTAGATGAGGAGCTCTAGGCAAGGGAATGTCAGGGGGACAGAGGCCCAAAAGCTGGGCTGGGGTCACGCTGGAAGTACTAAGCAGGGAGAGGAGCACCACGGAGGGAGACACGGCCGGAGGTAGAAGGGCCAGCCCGGGAGCCTGAGCAGGCAGGAGATGGGGGCGGAGGAGAGGCTTCGGGTGCTTCTGCCTAGAACTAGGGGCACCCGGGGGCTGCAGGTGTCCCCGTACCACATTCAGGCAGCTGCTGTGTGAAGTGGGGGTGTGTGGCCCCGAGTGGCCCCAGGCCAGGCCCACTGCAGATTGGGAGGGGGCCCTTCAGGGGTCTGGGCCCAGAGAGTACCATGTACCTGCTGACCGGGAGTCCCACCTGGATGGGACCTCGCGGCAAGGCCGCCCTCGGGGGTGCCCACAGCCAGGTGGGGCTCAGGGATGGGAGAAGGCCGTCTTCCTCCTACCCCTCACCTGCCCGCCCTGCCCCCAGCTGTCGTCACCCATGGCCCTGATCCTGCCCCCACCCCCGTTCACACCAGCACCCCCAACAGACACACGAGGCTGCGTCATTCACTTAATGCAGCTTTTCTTCCATTTTCTGGCAAGAGTTGAGTCCACCCTCACGGCGGCCTCCTCCCACAGGCCCCAGCGACTTCTGCCCAGGCACGCGGTCCCCCCAAGTTACCCCATAGGAGCCCCTCGGCTGGCCAGGGCTGGTCATGGTGCTACTTCTTCTTTGGAATTTTCTCCTTTTTGATCAATTCAGAAAATTCTAGAGCAACAGACCAATTTCTAGTAAGTACCCCTGTCTCATGTCCCCCAATCCCTGCAGGCCTTTTAACTCTCAGAGGAGGCAAAGGGAGGGTGCCAGGACTGGACTGCATGGTCCAGAGGGTCCTGTCCCTGAGCCCCTCAGTGGGGAGCAGGCCTCCAGCCTGTCTGGCCGGGGCCCCATGCCTTGGACCCGGCTGCCTGGTTATCATGGGTTGACCCCAGCTGGGGACTGCAGGCTTGCAATGGCCTGGGTCTCTACAGAGACCCTCAGGAATTCCCACAGACCCTCTGAAAGCAGGAGCTCACTCCTATGATCATCTCTCAGTGGGGAAACTGAAGCATGGAACAGCTAGGGGGTCTGACTTCTGAGGGGCCAGGCTGCCCCCTGTCAAGACTCGTGGCCCTCCATGAGCGGGGTTTGCTGCGGTTTCCAGACAGGGGCAGATGAGGACAGGGCCACGGCTGGGCAGGGGGCATCTGGAGGCCCGGCCCACCTTGTGTGCCCTCTGCCCTCCAGGCCTATGGCCCGCAGCTGGGGTTGGGTGGAGGTGAGATGGCCCAGACCTCAGGGCAGCCATGGAGAGCCTCGAAGACCCTGGACCTCCCAGAAGATGCAGCCCCGAGCCTGAGACCCCATACCCGCCGGCTCCACCACAGCTGGCCTTCCCGAAGCCCTCCCAGCCACCTCTCTGCAGTGGGGTCCTTGGCCCCAGGAAGAGTCCCTCGGCTCCTGGCCCAGCCCTCTGAGCCTGGGTTTCCTCGTCTGGCAGTTGGGTGCAGGTGCCCTTGGGGCGGGGCCTTGGGCAAGTGTGACAGCCTGGCCAGGTAAGGAATGTCCGGAGCGGGCCCCACCTTCGTAGTTGATCCTTCCGTCCCCATCTGTGTCCGCCGCCTGGATCATGGCCTCGGCCTCCTCGTCCGTCAGCGGGGCTGTGGGCCCACTGCTGGGGATGATGGACAGGATGTACCTGGGGCCAAGGGGGCTGGAGTCAGGGCCGAGGCTTCTGGCCAGTGCCCAGTGGCTCCGGCCGTTTACCCTCACTAAGTAGGCGAGGGCACTCGGGGCCGGGAGCCTGGGCCTCTGGGCTTCCTGGGCCTCCAGCTGTTTCTGGCTCAGCCCTGCCTGCCACAAGGCTGGCGGGGACCCGGTGGGGGAAGGCCGGGTCTGCCGGGTGAGCGTTCGGGGCTCCTGGTGGCCTGGGCCCCGCCCCCCCTGCTGCCAGCATTACTTGATCTCGTTCCACTCGATGAAGCCGCTCTTATCCTTGTCCAGGACCTGGAAGGCCTTGCGGATGGCGTCGTCCAGCTGCTCCAGGGCGTGGAACTTGCGCATGTGCTCGAAGAACTTGAGGTAGTTGAAGGACCCTGGGGCAACCAGGCTGGATCACCGAGGGCCGCCCCACTCGGGCGGGGCCTCAGGGAAGACGCTGCCCTGGGATGGGGCTGCCGGGCCTCACCCCTAGGTGCCCGCCCCTGCAGGTCCCTCCCCGCCACATCCCCGCCCCCGCAGGTCCTGTCCCCCCACATTCCTGCACTAAGTCCCCACCCCCGCTGGTTCCGCACCCCCATGTCCCCACCCCCGCAGGTCCTACACCCTCACATCCCTGCCCCTGCAGGTACCGCGCCATCCCCCACATCCCGCCTCCGCAGGTCCTGCTCCCCACATCCCTGCCCTCCCCCCGCCCCTCCCTGCATGCCCCACAACCCTACGTCCCACATCCCCACCCCGCCCCCAGCAGATCCCACATCCCCACGTCCCCACCCACCGCAGGTCCTGGTATCCTGGACCCATCAGCCCCAGAAAAGGGGTGAGGTCCCCTGACCGCGGCTGGGCTGGATGGGTGGGGGGCTGTGCCGGGTGGGGCATGCTGTACCGTGGTGTCTCATGTCCATGGGTAGCATTTCAATGTCCTTGTCTGACAGGGATGTGCCCATGGCCAAGGCCATCTTCTTCATCTGAGAGGAGAAATCCTCATCCATCCTGGCCCTGGGGTGGATAGGGAGTCAATTTGTGGGGTGCACACACGGATCGGGGGTGCTGCTTGGGCCAGAGCAGATGCAGAGCCTGCATGGGGCTAGGTCCTGCCTTAACGTGGGAACGGTGATAGGCGTCACAGTGTTGGCGGTGTGCCAGGGCGCCCGGGGCAGGCTGGGATTCCAGCCAGGCAGGTGGGGGTCTGGGCACAGGCAGAGGCGCCAGCGGGTGGGTCTGGGCCGTCCCGTGCCCCTCACAGCAGCGCCTTGTGACCTGCTGGGCTCTCGGGTTGCTGTCCCCAGGGGGGGTTGGGTTCTGGGGCTCAGCACAGCAGCTATGTCAGAGCTCAACAGGCAGCGGGTGTCCCAGGCTTCTTGGCCCTCCTGAAAGTTCACGGGGTGGTAGAGCCTTCTGGAACACACTCTTGCTGCCAGGAGGGGCGGCCCAGGTTCTCGACTGGGGCCGAGCAGTGGCCAGAGGCGCCTCTGCTCTCTGGATAGGGGAGCCATAGGTCAAGGGTTGCAACCCAAGCCTGGCGGCCTAGGGGTTCAAGGGGCGCCAGCTGCAGCCCTGGACCAGGTCCTGCTCCCCAAACCATAGTACCTCTACCTGCCACGTGATGTGGGGAGACGCCTGCCCCACTCCGGGGTTGTGGGAGGAGGCGGGGGGAAGGGAGATGGTGGGGAGGGGGCTTGCCTGCTGCGTGTGGCGGGAGCTGCGGCCCCAGTCCCCGCAGTGGCGATTCCCCCGGCCAGCAGGGCGGTGGTGAGCAGGCACGGGGGGCAGGCCTGGGCCTCAGAGGCCCTCAGGATCAGGACCGGTCCTGCCCCGCTTCATTCAGAGCTGGGACTCTGGTTCCCCTCCCCCCGCCGTGGCATCTTGGGGACCCATTTTGGAAGAGAATACCTGCCTTCCATCCAGGGCCAGTGTCACCTCCTTTACAGAGGAGGGGCTGGGCTGAATTCCAGGCCGAAAGTGGCTGAGCCAGGAATCAATGTCCTATCTGTAGAGGACTGGGGACGCCCCTGGGCTGGGCTCGGTCACCACCCCCCAGCCCACTGCTCTCAGGGCGCCCTCACTGAAGGCAGGGGAGCCCAAGATCCAGGCTGGAGCCGGTGGCAGGCAGAGCTGCTCCAGGCTGCTCCTGCACCCCCAGCCTGGGCTGGAGCGTCACGGGACCCCAGAGTGTGCTGGGGTGTCCAGCCGGGGCAGGCATCGAGACACCACTCAAGCTATTCTTGGGCCTGCCTGGACTCTGGGGGCTGCCCTTGGTGCCTCCTCTCTCCTCTGAAAGGGCTCTTTTCTCCCCACCCTGTTTACCCTCCCCCACAGCCAGAGCTCCTAGAGCCTCCAGGCTGGGCTAAGACCTCTCAGACCCCACCCCCACCCCAGCACTGCTGCATCTGGGATGCCCTGCCTGGACCATTCCAGACCTTCCACCCGTGGAGGCTGTGGTCTCCCCACGGCAGCTAGCCTCTGCCACCCAGTCGCCAAGCACAGACGCTGAGATGAGAGAGGTCTCTCAGGGGAAGGGGTGATGGAGACAGTGGGGTCCCTCTGGGTTGGGGGCAAGGCAGGGGACCAGAGCCAGCTCTGCATACCTGCTGGAGTCCGGCCTTGGACCCACTGCCCTGCCAGCCCCACCCCATCCCCACTCTGAGCCTGGGTGCCTAGGGGCAGAGTGAGCAGGTCCAGCTCCCCACACGGAGGTCCCAGCTTGCAGCCGCCTCTTGCAGCCGTGCCCACAGAGGCTCATGCTAGCACACGTGTGCACAGACGTGTGCCCTGTAGGGCCAGACACAAACAGCTGTCTTCCATCCGGGCTCCCCTGGGGCTCATGGTGGTGCTGCTGGCAGGGAGGGTCGCTCCTCCTCCCACCCCTTTCCCCACCTCCCCTGGGCCCCCCCAGGGTCTCCCAGGGCCACCCTTGTCCTGTGGACAAAGAGGAGGCCCCGAGCTCCCACCATCCAGCCCGGATAACCTCAGTGGCCAGGGCCTATGTCCCCTCTCCGGCAGGGCTTACCTCTGCCGGGTTTCTTTTGGGAGCTCTGGAAGGCAGGTCAGGCTGGGCTGCGGAGAGGCCCCGGGGCTTCAGCTTTTATACCTGCACGCCTGTTTACATCTTGGGTCTGCAGCTGTCCCCGCCCCTCCCTGGCACTCCAGCCTGGCATGGGCAGCTCCCAGGGGCTCGCAGGCACTTGGTGAGTCCACACCCGGCTGGGCAAACTGACCCTTTGCAGCTCCTGGCCTCCCCAAACCTGGGGTGGGGTTAGGGAGGAGCAGAGGGCACCAGTGAGCGGGCACAGGGTGCGCGAGATCGAGGGGGCAGATGGCAGCTGGAAGCCCGAGGTCAGAGAGGCTGGGGGCCTGCCTGAGGTCACAGGGCTGGAACCCCGGCCTCAGGCCTCCAGTGCAGGGGGCTGTGCGCAGTGGGAGGGGTTGCGGGCTAGTGGAGGGTGCAGGGAGATTGAGGCTGGGGACCCTGCCCTCCCAGCTCTGGGGCAGGAAACAGGCTGCAGGGCCAGGCACATGCGTGGGGTCTGAAGGGGCAGCCAAGTGGGTGCTTTGGCCCGACCTTGGGGCTTGGGCCTGGTGGGAGGGACAGCACAGCCTGCAGGCCGGTGGGGGTGGGGAGGCTCCAGGTTCACATATGACAAAGCTTCTCCAAGCCACACCGGCCTCCCAAACCACGGCTCCTCGCCGGTGGTGAGCAGGAAGGGCCAGGGTGATTGCTGGCTGGCTCTGCATACCAAGGGCATGGTCACTTTCTCCCAGGGAGGGTGGTGGTGAGAGCCCCATCCCTGTGGGGTGGTCATGCTGGGCACGACAGGCCTGTGAGGAGGCCAGGGATGGCGCTGTCTGCCGGGGTGGGGGCCCTGGCTTTCTGTGGAGCCCACGGGACTGCCAGGCTCCTGATACAGGCTGTGGTAGCCTGCCCATGTCGGAGGTGTGAGAGTATTGTGCCCACTAATGAAGGTGACGGTCACATGATATGTGACAGGTGACAATGAATATAATAACAGTGTCATCTGCCATCGGCTGGGCCCCAGGCGCCTCAGACAACTGCCACAGCAGCCCCCCAAGGGAGGCTCCATCATCCTCCTTCTCCAAGAGACCCCAGGAGCCGAGGAGACGAACCTGGTTCCAGAATCTCAAAAAAAAGGAAAAAAAAAGGAAAACAGTGTTTTTTTTTAACTCTTTTTTAAGAAATGGTGTCGTGTTCCGTCCCACAGGCTGGAGTGCAGTGGCTCGATCTCGGCTCACTGCAACCTTTGCCTCCTGGGTTCAAGAGATACTTCTGTCTCGGCCTTCCAAGTAGCTGGGACTACAGGCTCTCGCCACCACGCCCAGCTAGGTTTTGTATTTTCAGTAGAGATGGGGTTTTACCGTGTTAGCCAGGCTCATCTCGAACTCCTGACCTCAGGCTATCCACCTGCCTTGGTCTCCAAAAATGCTGGGACTACAGGCATGAGCCTCCACGTCCAGCCTTACTTTTTCTTTTCCATTGTGAACGCCTTTCGTTTCTTTTTCTTGCTTAATTGGCCCGGCTGGAACCTCCAGTACTGTGTTGAATAGGAGTGGCCAGAGTGCACACATTTTCTTGTTCTTGATCTTGGAGGAAAAGTGTTCAGTCTTTCGCCACTGAATATGACGTTTGCTGTGCGCTTTTCACGGACGGTTTTTATCGTGATGAGGTAGTTTCCCTCTCTTCATAGCTTGTTGAGCACTTTTATCATGAAAGGGCATTGAATTTTGTCAAGTGCTTTTTCTTTTCTCTTTTTTTAATTTGAGACAGTGTCTTGCTCTGTCGCCAGGCTGGAGTGCAATGGTGCAATCTCGGCTCACTGCAACCTCTGTCTCCCTGGTTCAAGTGATTCCTGTGCCTCAGCCTCCCAAGTAGCTGGGCCTATAGGTGTGCACCACGCCTGGCTAATTTTTTGTATTTTAGTAGAGACGGAGTTTCACCATGGCCAGGAAGGTCTCGATCTCCTGACCTTGTGATCCGCCTGCCTCAGCCTCCCAAAGTGCTGGGATTACAGGCGTGAGCCACCGCGCCCGGCCGTCAAATGCTTTTTCTACCTCAGTTGAGTTGATCACATGTTTTCTGTTCTTCCTTCTGTGAATGTAGTGTATCACACTGATCGATTTTGTAGTTAACCCATCCTTGCATTCCAGAAATAAGTCCCACTTGATTATGGTGTATAAGCCTTTCCATATGCTGCTGAATTCAACTTGCCCGCATTTGGTTGGGGATTTTTGAATCTGTGTTCATGAGGGATATTGGCCTACACTTTTCTTTCCTTGTAATCTCTTTGGCTTGGTATCAGGGTAATGCTGGCCTCACAGAGTGAGTTAGGAGTGGCTGAGTTCACTTGTTTAGGAAGGCTTGAGAAGGATTGGTGTTTGTTCTTTAAATGTTTGGTAGAATTCACCAGTGAAATTATCAGGTCCTGGGCCTTTCTTTGATGGGAGACTTTTGATCGCTGATTCAATTTTCTTACTGGCTACAGACCTATTCAGATTTTCTATTTCTTTGGGATTGAGTCTTGGTAGGTTTTGTGTTTCTTGGAATGTGCCCAATCTCAGTACTTCTCTATAGAGCAAGATATGATGCGGGCCTGGCTTTGCAGCTGTGAGCTTGGGCAAGCCACATGGCCGTTCTCTTGGGGCGTCTGTGTGTAGCATGAACTCCCACCCCACCTGCTGCCTCAGGGGGGCTGTAGGAGGGAGTGTGAGGGTCCATGGAGGTGGCCCACTGCGCCTGGCAGCGTCTCCCAGAACATGCAGCCTGGCCAGGGTATTTGAGAAACCAGCAGAAGACAGGGGACAACCTGGCTTCCTCCAGTGAGTGGCTAGGCCTGGGCAGCCATCTGTACCTGGGTCACTGCAGGCACCAGGGAGCCATGCGAGGGCCCACTCATGAAGCCCCTAAAATCAGGGCCCTGGAAGGAGAGGGCATCTCTGTGAGGCAGGTGGCTTCTGTGGGCACCTCGCCCTGGTTGGTGTCTCTCACTGGTCAGGGCCCTTGTAGGGCTGTCACCAGGGTGAGACCAGAACAGGGACACGTCACTTAGGACCTGCCCCAGCCACGGCCTGTCTAGAAGGAGACGCTTCACTGTCCATTTGTTTTCTAACACCCCGATAACGACAGTGAAAAAGATCTCACGCTGCCTCTTCTCCGCCCTGAAACCACAGGCTTTTCCTTGTGCCGGTTTCTGCCCCTCTGGTTCTTACGTGGAGCTGATAGGACCTCGGTATCTGATTTCTCAGCGTCATATTTTATCACATGTCTCTACGACTCTGCGGTTACGGTGGAAGACAGCTCCGTGTTGTGCTTGGGAGCTGACGACATTCAGGCAACTTTTTTTTTTTTTTTTTTGAGATGGAGTCTCAACCCAGGCTGGAGTGCAGTGGCAAGATCTCAGCTCACTGCAACTTCCACCTCTCAGGTTCAAGTGATTCTCCTGCTTCAGCCTCCGGAGTAGCTGGGATTATAGGCACCCACCACCACTCCTGGCTCATTTTTGTATTTTTAGTAGAGACGGAGTTTCACCGTGTTACCCAGGCTGGTCTTGAACTCCTGACCCCAAGTGATCCTCCTGCCTTGGCCTCCCATAGTGCTGGGATTACAGGTATGAGCCACCACACCCTGCTCCAGCGACTTTCTTGACTGGCTGTCTGCTGCTGGACCCAGAGAAACGTCAGCGTTTTTTGCATTAGAGATAATGTTGCAATGAGTGTCTTTGTCCAAGAAGCCCGTCCGTTTCCTTGGCTATGTTCACAGTAGTGGAATGAGCGGGTCAGAGGTGGAAGAGTCCACAGTCCCACCACAGTCCTCTCCGTGGGGTTCACCCTGTAGCTTTCCCACCGTGCCGGGCTGTCCCGGGTGCCCCACCCTACACATGACACTAACATGGCAGTCTGTCCCCAGCCAGCAGCCCGGATCTCAGGGCGTGGCTGGATAAACACCGTGTGGTCCATCCACGCAATGGAATGTAACTCAGCTGCAGAGAGGCATGGGGCACCAGCAGGCCAGAGTGAGGAGGGACCTCGGGAACATCCCACTGAGTGTGGGGCGCGTGGCAGAGACACCCACATACTGTGTGATTCCATTTTATGAAATGTCGGAATGGGGCCAGTCCGCAGGGACTGAACACAGCGGTGGGGCCCAGGAGAAGGGAGGGGGCAGGCGTCATCTGATGGGCACAGGGCTTCCTCTCGGGATGGTGACAATGTTTTGGACCCAGATGGGGGCGCAGCATTGTGAATTCAAATGCTACTGAATTGTTCACTTTTAAGACAATTTATTTCATGTTACATGAACTTTTTTTCAATGAAAAGGAACTATGTGGAGTGGGAAATCATGCTTTTAATAAAACGAGACCCAAAGAAACCAGCGCCTGGAAGCGTCTGCAGTGTGAGCGGCCAGGCTGTGAGCCCACCCCTGGCCTGCCTGGGCCACGAAGGCGTGGGGAGCCTGGCCTGGGATCTCTGGGAGGGTGGCAGGCGGGCTGGCGGATGCGGTGTTCTCCAAAGCTCCCAGAACCAGCACCTGCCCCAAGCTGACAGATGGCCTGTCCCCTGGGGGGTCCTTTTGGCTTCATTTCTGTTCAGAGCCGCCCCTCCTGGCCTCCAGCCCTGGCCCCGGCTCACGGGCCCCCACTGAGGGCTACACTGGCCTGGAAGGGCCTCAAGGACCACCTCATAGCTCTGGGGGACAGTACTGTGCCCCCGTCCCAGCACTGGACAGGCACTGCCCCTTGGGGAGACTGAGGTCTCAACCCCACTGGGGTTGGCACTGCCCACCTTCCTGCCTGGAACAACTCTGGGGCAAGGGGGAGGCCAGGGCTGGAGGCCAAGAGGCCCCAGCTGCCCCTCCTGCCTGAGGGCCGTGCTGCCTCTGCCTGGAAGGGCACTCGGCTCTATTTTCTCCCAGGTGCCTGGGGGTACAGGGCTGGGGCTGGAGGAGCCCAAGCACCCTAAGATGCCTCTAAGAGGGCCAAGATGGCGGAGGGGGATGTGGCAGAATGGGGGTGCCCACTGCAGGCTGAGGCCAGCCAGGCAGGGGTATCCTTGGGGCTCTGCAGTGCCTCCCGCAGTGCCCAGCAGGCGGGTTTGGGTGCCGAGTCCGGGCAGCTGCGCTGGCAGAAACACTATTATAAGCGGCTAATTGGGATTCAGACGTCTGCAGGAGGAGTCTGGGAGGCGCTGACCTTGTTCTCACAGCTGCATGTTCCCCACCTTACCTCACCCCTCCCTCCCACGCCCTGAACATCCGCCTGGGGTTGAACTGTGTCCCCCAAAATATGTCCAGTCCTGACCTTACACGCATGCACACACACCTACACACACTACACACATGCACACACATACCAACACACACATGCACACACATGCACACATACCAACACACCTACACATAGGCACACAAACATGCACACACACCAACACACACCAACACATGTACACACATACACACACCTACACATTGCACACACATGTACACACATGCCAACACATATGCACACACATGCGCACACAACACACCTACACAGGCACACACATGCACACACATACCAACACACTACATATATATACACATACCAACACATATACCTACACATATGCACACACATGCCAACACACATGCACACACATGCACACATACCAACACACACCTACACAGGCACACACATGCACACATACCAACACACCACACCAACACACCTACACATATGCACACACTTGAAAACACATGCACACACATGCACACACACCAACACACACCAACACACACCTACACATAGGCACACATGCACACACATACCAACACACACGTACACATGTACACACACACCAACACACACAACTAAACAAATGCACACCCATGCACACATACCAACACACATGCACGCATACCAACACATCACATAGGCACACACACATGCAGACACAAACACACACACCACATATGCACACATGCATACCAACACACACCACATGCACACACATGCATACCAACACACTACATATATGCACACACACACGCACACATAACACATGCCTACACATGCACACACCAACACACAGGCATACACATGCACACACATCACACCTACACA